AGGCACGCAGACTGTACCAAATAAAACCCAACCGACTACATCCACCAAGAAAAAGGAAAATACAACTCATTTAATACACAACAAAAAAAAAAAAAAAAAAAAAAAAAAAAAAGAAACAGTCATTCAAAGTAAACCTAAAACTGAAAGTCACAAAATAATTAATAAAAATAGAAGTCCTAGCAATAGCTCTCTTGACGATATGATTTCTGAATCTGCGGATTCAGACAATATGGAAGTAGAAGAGGGTCTAGAAGTTCCCAGGCATCTACTTCCACGAAAAACAAAAACCATTCATAATGGCCACCCTCATCTCATGGAACTGTCGCGGTTTCCACCGAAATTTGCTTGACATCAAATCTATCATAAATGCGTATCATCCTGTGTGCTTAGCAATACAGGAAACAAATCTGAAACCAGAACAGCATGCAAAACTTTGGAGGTTTTCTTTCGTCAGGAAGGATAACCTTGCAGGTGAACGTGCCAGTGGAGATGTAGGTCTCCTCACCTCCTCAAATGTACTTTCTTTGACGACATCCCTCCAAGTTGTCGCTACTCAAATAAATTTTGATATTGTTGTTTCATTTGTTTCTCTTGTATTTGCCTCCAAATGAGCACATTTATCAGCAAGATTTAAATAATCTTATAGAGCAGCTGCCTGAGCCTTTTATCATAATAGGAGATTTTAACGGCCATAGTCCGCTCTGGGGTAGTAAAGATACAAATTGCCGAGGAAGACAAATTGAGCAGATGATCGAAGATCATAGCCTTTGTCTCCTGAATAATGGGCAGGATACTTACTTCCATGAGCCTTCAAGGACATTCCACGCTCTCGACCTTGCCATCTGTTCACCATCTCTGTTGCCATTTTGCACTTTTAGTGTCGGAAATGATCTGTACAACAGCGATCATTATCCCATTTTTGTGTCTCTTGCACGAAGACGAGCAAACCCCATGTCGAGACTCCCTCGGTTTATACTGGACAGGGCAGACTGGGAACTTTTCTCTTCCGTTGCAGAGCTCACAGAGAAAATGGTAGAAGATGTGCATATCGATTACGCTGTTAAAGCTGTTACTAATACTATTATTCAGGCAGCTATGCTTTCGATTCCTAGAACATCAGGAAAAATACTAAATATTTCGAAACCATGGTGGAATCGCGACTGTCATGAAGCACTGAAAAAACAGAAAAAAGCATGGGGTATTTTTCGTAGATATCCTACTCTGCGAAACCTCATAGCATTTAAAAGAGCCAAAGCAAATGCACGAAAAGTAAGAAGGCAGAGCCAAAGGAATTCTTGGATTTCATATGTGTCGTCAATAACATCCTCTACGCCTAGTAAGCGGGTTTGGGAAAGAGTTCGAAAAGCATGCGGAATATATAAAGACCACTCACTTTCCTTTTTGGAAAAAGATGGCCGAGTGATTAGCTCCATAGAAGAAATTGCAAATACTATTGGTGAGACATTTGCTGCCGTTTCTTCCAGCAGAAACTATTCACCTGCATTTCTCTCTATCAAGCAGCACTCTGAAATAAATCCCATCGCATTCAACTCTTCCAAATCTGAGCCTTACAATAGAGACTTTACTATGCTTGAATTAAGGAGAGCTTTGTTGCAGACACATAGGTCTTCTCCGGGTCCTGATGGCGTGTATTATGAAATGCTGAAGCATCTGTCCTATAAGTCACTGACTGCCCTTCTCACTCTTTACAATAGAGTGTGGAAGGAGCGTACCTTTTCCCAGTGCATGGAGGAGAGCTGTTGTCATTCCTATTGCTAAGCCAGGGAAAGATCCAAGGAATCCCTCCAACTATCGGCCAATTGCCCTTACCAGTTGTGTATGCAAACTGTTTGAAAAGAAATAAAAAATAATATATATCGCCTTATCAAAGCGGTTTTCGAAAGGGAAGAACGACCGTAGATAATATGCTTCCTTTTAGAGATATCCATTCGAAAAGCTTTTGTAAGAAGAAGTCACCTTGTCTCAATATTCTTTGACATTGAGAAAGCTTAAGATAAGGCATGGAGATACGGTATACTTCGGGATCTTCACGAGAGTGGCTTGCGCGGCAACCTACCAATTTTCATTCAGAATTTCTTGAACGCTAGAACTTTTCAAGTAAGAATTGGCTCTGTTTTGTCAGATGTTTTTGAACAGGAAGAGGGTGTGCCTCAAGGCTGTGTGCTTAGTGTAACTCTGTTCAGCCTAAAAATAAATTCTGTATTAAAACAACTTCCTCCCACCATTTCAGGATCTTTATATGTTGATGATCTACAAATTAGCTGTCGGGGTGCGGATATGAGACATGTAGAGAGGCAGCTCCAGATCGCTTTGAACAGGATCCAGGAATGGGCAAAAAGACAAGGATTTACGTTTTCAAAACAGAAGACTGTGTGCGTGCATTTTTGTAAAAAGCGAGGTCTGCATCCTGAGCCTGAATTATACCTCAATGGGTCTGTAATTCCAGTTGCACCGGAAGTAAAATTTTTAGGGGTGATGTTTGACCGAAAATTGACTTTTCTTCCTCATGTCTTTAACTTGAGAAAAAAATGTACCAAAGTTTTAAATATTCTAAAAGCCCTGGCGAACACCTCCTGGGGTGCAGAGCACCGCTCCATGCTTCGCATTTACAGAGCTCTAATTCGCTCTAGACTGGACTATGGCTCAGTTGTTTATGGATCCGCCCGGTCATCAGTATTGTTAAAACTGGATCCTGTTCATCATCAAGCTCTGCGGATCTGTTCAGGAGCTTTCAGGACTTCTCCTGTCCAGAGCCTGTATGTTGACTCTAATGAACCATCACTTTATCTGAGGCGTGAACAATTGTCCCTTTTGCAATATTTTAATATTCTATCCCAACCTGAACATCCCAATAAGCTGTGCTTACTTGATGATGTGTGTAACGCGTTATTTGAAACACGTCCATCCTGTGTTCCTACTTTTCCTTTAAGAGTTCGCCCTGTCATTGAGGAACTTTCCCTCTCTGATATGCACCCCCAAGCAGTACAGAATTTTGAAATCCTACCTTGGGAAAATGCAGCTTCTTGATGTTTTTAAGTATCATGTGAAGGCAAGCACTAACGAGATTATTTACAGACAACTCTTCGCTGAGCACAGGGACAAATACAGCAGTTATCTTCCAGTCTATACAGATGGATCCAAGTCAAAAGATCATGTCGGGATGGCATTTGTAATTGAAGACCACATGGAGGGCAGACGCTCGCACCATGCTTTCTCTGTCTTAACATCCGAACTAACTGCGATATATTATAGTCTTTTGTACATCTCAAGGCTCTGCTACAAAAAGTTTATAGTTTATACAGATTCGTATAGTGCTCTTAAATCATTAGAAGCTTTTCCTAATACTCAAAATCCAGTAATAGTGGATATTCTCAAATTACATATAAACTTAATGAATCGTGGATATGAAATCCTGTACTGCTGGGTTCCCGGGCATGTGGGAATAAAAGGGAATGAGCTGGCAGATATCACAGCAAAATGTGCTGTTGAACTGTCCAGTCGTCTCATCCCTTTTGCAGACATCTGTTGTGTTGTGAAACAGAAGATCCGAAAAAAAATGGCAGCAACTTTGGGATGTTCAGCTTCAAAATACATTAAGACATGTAAAACCTAGAATTGAGCACTGGGAATTAACCAAAAATCGTAAGGAGGAAGTTCTTTTGACTCGCCTCAGAATTGGTCACACTAGAGTGACACATAGGTACCTTTTAAAAGCTGAAAATGAGCCTGTTTGTTTTAACTGTAATGTTTGTTTATCTGTTCGTCATATTTTAATTGAGTGTCCATGTTTTAATAGGCTTCGCCAGAAATATTTTAATAGCTGTGACTTGCCTCTCGACCGTTTAATCGGAAGAGAGGCCAACTGTGGTTTGTTTTATTATTTGAAAGAGACTGGCTTTTATTACCAAATGTAATTTGTTTTGAAGACTGTGTCTTGAATTTTAATATGTCCTTTTAATTTGTTATTATATGAATTCATCCTCTGGATTTGGTACATTTGTCTACTTGTTTATTTATTGAATTTTAATGTCATCAACTGTAATCATCCCATCTTGTGTTTGGCGCACTATAATCATCTTTGGTTTTTGCACCATAATCTCTCACTCACTCACTCATTTAAATACTAAAAATAGACAGCTTTGTAATATTTTTATTGATGAATACATAAAACTGACAAATAAATTTTAAACTAAATTCACAGGGAGAAAAAATTTCTTAAACTAAAAATTAACTTGTATTACAATACAGAAAATGACTTTTTTTTAATAAAGAATAAAAACTAATAACATACTGAGAGTAAATAAGTATTCAGGATAATAATTCTCAAACACTCGGCTTCAACTAACTGAAAAACACACAAACGGCACATTTACATAGCCTCATAATTCATTTGCAAACTACTCACAAGTTCATTGCCAAAAAAAAAAATTATTCATTTGAAATCAAAAAGAATTTTTTACCAAGTATCAAAAGAAAATTGTTATAGATCATGAGTTTTTGAAAAACTGCTATAAAAATCTTAAATAATTAGATAGGCACTGCAAATTAAGCACTGCAATAACTGAACAGTCCTTGAGTAATCAGAGCATAACAACATTAATCCAGTTTAATACAGTAGCTATACAACATATTTCGTTATACAAAAAATTCCTTTTGAAAAACAGATTAACTGCTTTTTGAAAAATGATTATCCATATTTAGAATATAAATAACATAAACTTTAAGCAGAGTTTGCTATATTTAAATAATAAAAAAAAATATTTACACATTGAATGTTTGTTCTCAACAATAAAAGATTACCTTTATCAAATATCAGTTATTTCCATTAATAATTAACACAGACTATAGCAATCCAAATAATAAACCTCATAAAAATATGAGTTTTTAATAAATACGTCTGACTTAAAATTTGTCAGGATAACATCTTGCATTAAAAAAGCAATAACAAGTGAAAATTCTATAAAGAATACCAAACAAAATATGCCATTAAAATTCATTCAAATAAATGAATTACATGCTATGAAGGATACGAAAGCTACAACAACATTAAATTCTTAATGGAATGTACATAGGTATTAGTGTACAAATGGAATTAACAACATAGCACAAATTAGTTATGTCTTAAAATGCAGAGTAATTGCTACCACCAATCATGCTATTCATTCCATGGCTCTGATAACCACCATTTCCAGCTCCACTATAGAAACCTAATAAAAAATACAGTAAAATCACATACGAAAAGTAAAGAGCTTTAATTAAAATTTATGGAGAAACATATAAAAATTTATTGTCCTTCATATTATTAGTTTAATCTAAGTGCATTCATTTACTTAACATTTTATGGACTATGAAGTTAGAAGGTGAGTTCAAAAAAATTCATTAATATTTAGTAACTGTTAGAGTAATTTTATTTCTGGACTCATTCTTAATGTCAAAATATAGGGTTGGCAACTAAGTAACTGTGGATTTTATTTTTAGAAAATCAAAGACAATTTTTTCAAGGAACTAAATAACTTTATTCTGTAATGTATTGCCCATTTTGATCAATGACCTTTTGCCATCTTTCAGGCAGCATCATAATCCCACGTTCATAAAACTTCTGGTTTTTATTAGCAAAAAACTGAATCAGGTACGATTTGACATCATCATCATTATTGAAATTTTTACTATTCAAGGAGTTTTGTAAAGATCGAAACAAAAAGTAATCAGATGGTGCAAGGTAAGGACTATATGGTGGATGTGGCAAAACATCCCAACCAAGCTCCAATATTTTTTGCCTAATGACCAAAGATGTGTGCGACCTTGTATTGTCATGATAGAATACAATACCTTTCCGATTTGTCAATTCGAGCCACTTTTCTTCAACTGCATTGTTTAATTTCGTTAGTTGTTCACAGAATTGATCATTCGGTTGGGTGGTAAGAGATTCAAAGTAGACAATTCCTTTGTAATCCCAACCAAACTGATAATAAAACCTTCTTTTGATGAATATCAGCTGGTTCACCTAGCCTGCTCCACGATCTTTTCCGCTTGATATTGTTGTAAACAACCCATTTTTCATCACTAGTTATCAGTCGTTTTAAAAATAGATCATTTTCATTACGTTTCTTTAGCAAATCGCAGTTGTTAATGCGTTGTGTTAAATGGATTTCGTTCAGTTCGTGAGGAACCCACGTATCGAGTTTTTGAACACAGCCAAGTTGTTTTAAGTGATTTTCAATGCATGTATGTGATATCTCACGTGTTGTACTGTGACGATCCGAATCGATTATTGCTTTGATTAGGTCGCCATCAACTTTAACTGGACGACCAGAGCGTTTTTCATCTTTGAGTGAAAAATCACCAGAACGAAATTTGGCAAACCAATTTTGACACTGCCATTCTTTTTAAGGCTTCATCACCATAAACAGCACATAACTTTTTATGAGCTTGCAATGCGTTTTTCCCTTTGCGGAAATAAAAAACAAAATATGACAAAAATGTTCCTTTTGATTTTCCATTTTTCAACAAACGCCAAACGAAAACTACGCAACCGAGCAAAAAAACTTTTTTTACTGATTGACAGCTGAATTGCCAACTATTAAACAACAAAATGTGTTTTACATTTGTACTACGTCTGCTACCCTAAAAATTCAACTGAAGCCATCTATGACTGAAATCCGCAATTACTTAGTTGCCAACAGAAAACTCACAAAATGCTAAACACAAGATAAGTGAAAATTCCAGACAGCTGAACATACAAGAAATGCAATTCATGGTAGAAGAGCCAAAGGAATGGAAAGAAGAAATTTTCAGTCTAAAATTATAAAAACAATCAATCATCTTAATTGTTATCAGCTTGAATAAAATAGTACATAAAATTAAAAAAAAAAAAAAAAGTATAGTTCAAAAGGAATGTAAGAAGAAATTTTCAGTCTAAAATTATAAAAACAATCAATCATCTTAATTGTTATCAGCTTGAATAAAATAGTACATAAAATTAAAAAAAAAAAAAAAAAAAAAAAAAAGTATAGTTCAGACTTTGGTTTTCACATTTTTGTAGGCCTTAAATGTATGAAAGTAAAACACATCCAATTATGAAATCTCGTACAGTTGGTAGAGACTGCACCAATCAACCCAGCAAATTTTGAAACAACTAATAATTCTTCATTTAATTAGATGCTGAAGAGATACAATTTACGGATACAGCATATAAAAAATTTAAATCACTTGTCATAATTTTCATAATGCATTGCCACTGTGTTATTGCTAACATACACACCCACCTGATCACGAAGTGATCTTATGATCAAAAAGGGGTAAAACATTGCCACTGTATCTGTTTACAAAAAGTTGCATATTGAGTCCATTAATGCACACTTTTTTAGATGCCAGAATACTGTAATTTTCAAAATACTTCATGCTGTTTTCCAGGCAGCACGTCACAAATTTTGATCCATTTTTCAAAATGCAAGGGAAAACAGATAGATAGCTGTTAACTTACATCCTCAGTTACAAAAACTTTTCCAGCTTATTAAGAACTGATCAGGCTTACCAAAGGCAAAGATCAAGAGAGATTGAGTGGTGATATCAAGCTTTAATAGATTATCAGCTCTAAATGACAAAGTTTGGAGACATACTATATATGCTTTTTAATCTTTATTTACCAACTTTTTTGGATGTGTGTGTGTGTGGGGGGGGTTAAAATTTTAATCTTCCTTACTTGAGCTTTCCCATTAGTTGAATGGCAGATAGTTCTGAGCTTTTAGAATATTTATAAAAGATAAAATTAATTTTTGGTACTTTTCCATTTTGCCTGCGCAAATCTCGCCAAGCAGACTTTATTGTCGACATGATACAGTATACACATAAAAAATGTTAACAAATGTTAGTTCTAAAAATTGTTTATTTTGAGGGCATAGACATTTTAATATCGTTTACAATTTTATAAAAAAGCCAATAAATTTGTAAAAAGACATTAATTTAAGAATTTACTATGCTTTCATGGTTCAACATCCTGATTCGTCGGTTCGTATCACGTGACCCTAAGTGATCTCATCTCACGTAAACTACGCTACAAAAATCTAATTCTCTCAGTAATTATCTGCATTAATTTGAAGTTAAATCTTAATTTGTAATACAAGTTTAAAATGCAAGAATTATTTCAATTTGTATGAATAGCTTACTCAGAAATTATGTAAAACCACAGTGCTTTACTTCGCTAGTGCATTTTCATTAGAATTGATGAATTTAACCCCTGACTTTGCCTTTTCCATATGTTCGCCTTCAAATGAGCGGTATGATTTGTAACAGCTTTAAATAGTATTAAAATCTTGTAGTTTAAATAATTTAAATAGATGAACATTAAGTTATTTGTGAATGGCAATATTTGAAACCAGACTCAAGTGCCACGTGCGACTCTCGCACGAAGAATGTAATTTATTTTTAAATGTTAGAATATGTTTTCTCTTCTTGTTTGTATGTCGCCATTTTTGAGTGTTAAATAAAAGTTATTGCTGTGTTCCATCATTGGAGTTGCTTATTATCGCCAAAGAAGCATCACAGTCATAATTATTTTGGAGGCACCGACCAAGATCGAATAATCGTGCGTATTTTTATTTTATTAGTTCATCACTGAACATAATATTAGTGATACCAGATTATTACTTAATGTTTATATAGAATTGCTTTATTAGTTCATCACTGAACGCAATATTAGTGATACCAGATTATTACTTTTCCTGTTAATAATAAATTGTCTTATTTTATTACCGCATTTGATATTATATTTAATATTCATTTTAGTTGTGCAGACGGTAGATATATATATTGCTCTATGTTATTATTCTTATTTTAATCACAATTAATGTGGTAGAGAGAATGAACTTCATATAATTTAAATATTTCTAATTTCGTGATTCCTGACTGCATTAATTAATTAAAGTAATTGAATTGAGCTATTTTGAGGAAATATAAAGAAAACAGTGTTCGTTAATTTTAAACATAGAAACAATGTCTTACTTAGGAAGAGCTCGTAAGGAAGATTTGCAAAATCTCGCGGCTGAACTGGGAGTTCATGTGACTGCAGATTTGAAAATAGTCGATTTAAAACAGAAAATTGTTGAAAGTAGAGATTATGATGAAGTATTCGTCAAAGGAGTCTTAGACACAATAATAGAAGAACGGAAGTGAGGGAGGAAAGGGAAGAACGGAAAGAGAGGGAGGAAAGAGAAGAACGGAAAGAGAGGGAGGAAAGGGAAAGAGAAGAACGTAGGAGACAGGAAGAAGCGGAAGCGCGGAGAAGGAGAGAACAGTGTGAATTAGAGAGATTAAGACTTGAAGCAGAGACAAATTCTCAAAATACCGGACAGATCCGGCCGAAAACGGAGCTGCGTCACCTTATGCAGAAATTCGATGACAAGAAAGGAGATATCAGTCTATATTTGCTATTGTTTGAAAGGCAAGCAGAATGGGCTAAAATTGATAAAGAAGAATTTGTATCTCATTTACTAGGACTACTTCCTTACGAAGTAACCCAGTTAATAGCTAGAGAACCCTCCGATAAAGCTAAAGACTATGAACACGTGAAGAATTTATTGTTAAGACGGTTTAAACTAAGCCCGGAAAAGTTTAGGCAGAAATTTATGAAACATCAAAAGAGTACCGAATCCACATGGGTGGATTTCAATTATGAAATAGAAAATTATTGCAAGGAATGGGTGACTGGTCTAGGAGTTAAGACTTTTGATCAGTTGCTAGATTTGATGGTGATTGACCAACTTAAGCGTCGAGTTCCTCCTGAAATTCGAGATCATTTTCTTGATGAGTGGGTAGAGATGATTTCATCTAAAAAATTAGCTGAAAAACTTGATGCCTATGAAAACGTTTGCGGAAACTTTAAAAAAAAAGCCTGTAGTGGATAGGCAGAAAGAAAGATACAATGCACTAACTCAAGGTAAATTGAGTTCAGATAATAAAAATAAAACTGAAAACAAAAATGTCATCAGGATTTAATACGCAAAGCTTGTTTCATAGACCTAGAAGTCCACGTCCAGATGATAAATATGAAAAACGAAAGACGCCACAATGCTATCAGTGTGGGTCCTATGAACATTTAAGGCCCCAATGTCCAAAACTTAAGAATAGTACTGAATCTCCTGCTAATCTTAACAGAATTAGTGCAAAACCAGAGGATAAATTTCTATTACCTTATACTAGTATGGGTTAC